GATATCTTCTTTTATTCATGGTCGAGTTCCTACAGCACCATCTTCAACCACATTACTTCTTTACTAGGTTGTGTAGCTGCTACATATTCTGCCTTTGTTGTTGAAGTAGCCACAACTGACTGTAGTTTTGAAACCCAGCTTACAGCTCCGTCAGCAAGTGCAAACTCATAGCCTGTGGTGGATTTGCTATTATCACGATCACCTGCATAATCAGAATCAACATATTCACTAATAATAAAATCAGATCCCCCATAACATAATGCAACATTTGAGGTTGCTTAAATATATCTTAGAACCCTCTTTATAGCATTCCAATGCTCTTTACCAGGATTCACCATGTATCGACTAATCACTCCCACTACTTGTATAATGTCTGGTCTTGTACAAATCATCGCGAACATTAAGCTTCCGACTGATGATGTATACGGCACTCGAGACATCTCCATCCTCTCTTCTTCATTGTTAGAACTCAAACTGGAGGATAACTTGAAATTAACAGGAAGTGGGGTAGAAATTAACTTACAATCTTGCATGTTAAAGCGCCGTAAGATTTTCTTCAAATAGTTCTTCGGAGAAAGCCAAATCTTCCTATTAACTCTATCTTGGTAAATTTGCATCCATAGAATCTTGTTTGCAGATCCTAAATCTTTTATTTTAAATTCCTTAGCCAACTGAGCCTTTAATTCTTGGATACGATCTTTATTGGCACATGCAACTAACATGTCGTCAACATATAACAATAAGATAACAAATTTATTTTTACCAAACCTCTTGAAATATGCACAAGGGTCTGAATTAAGTCTGTTGTATCCAAGGCTCATGATGAATGAATCAAATCTCTTGTGCCAACACACTAGCGCCTGCTTTAGACCGTACAAAGATTTGTTCAATCTGTAAACCAAGTTCTCTCTTTCTTTTTCTTCAAAACCTTCTGGTTGGAGCATGTAAATTTCTTCTTCAAGATCTCTATGAAAAAATATTGTTTTCACATCTAGCTGCTCTAGATGTAAGTCAAATATAGCGCTCATAGTCAGAACTATTCGGATTGTTATAAGTCGAACTACAGGAGAAAATATTTTATTAAAATCAATACCTTCTTTCTGAGCATATCCTTTTACCACAAAATATTTTATTAAAATCAATACCTTCTTTCTGAGCATATCCTTTTACCACCAATCTAGCACGATATCGCTCCACCCTTCTTTCTGAGCATATCCTTTTACCACCAATCTAGCACGATATCGCTCCACTTGATCATCGCCATTTCTCTTCATCTTGTAGACCTATTTGTTTCCAATGGTCTTTCTTCCTTGTGGCAGTGACACAAGTTCACAAGTCTTGTTCTTATAGAGATCTTTAATTTCTTCTTGCATTGCTGCCATCCACAAGGATACATTTGTGTCATTTATAGCTTCATGAAAAGTTGATGGCTCTCCATCTTCTGTTAGAAGACAATATGTAACATTATTCTCGGTAATATACTCCGAGTGCCAAATCGGTGGCCTTCTCTCACGAGTTGACCTTCGAGCTTCTGAAGCCTCGGACTCGACTGGTTCTTGTACATCATGCTCCGGTATTGCTTCAAATGAATTCGGACTATCTTCTACCTGAACAACTACAGTCTCTGAGTCCTTCCTCGAACTGCTTTTTTTTTCTTCACTTTGTAGTTGATTCTCTATAAAGATAACATCTCTACTGATGATCGCCTTGTGGGAAGTGGGATCCCACTGGTAATACCCCTTTAATCCATCAGCATACCCCAAGAATATGCATTTTCTGAATTTTGAATCCAACTTTGTAATTTCTTGGGCATTGTACATTGCGTACACTGGACTTCCAAATATATGGAGGTTAGAATAATCAGCTGCCTTGCCAGTCCACATCTCCATTGTCGTCTTTAATAGTATTGCAGTTATGGAGATCGATTTACCACATAACAGGAGGTTTTTACTGCTTCTCCTAAAATACTTTATCCAGATTTGTAGTTGTCAACATAGTTCTTGTTCTTTCCAACAGAGTTTTGTTCATCCGCTCAGTCACTCTATTTTTTTGAGGAGTATAAGCCGTACTGAATTGTCTTTTGATGCCTTCATGCTTGCAGAATGCTAGGAATTCACCGTCTGTGTATTCTCCTCTATTATCTGACCTCAAGCACTTGATCTTCTTCTCAGATTCAAGCTCGACCCGCGCTTTGTAGGTTTTAAAGACTGAGAACACACCCGTCTTCTTTTTGATAGGATACACCCAACATCTCCTGGAGTACTCATTAATAAAGGACACAAAATATTTTGCTCCTCCCAAGGATGTAACCGGTGTTTGTCATACATAAGAATAAACTAGTTCCAGAATAGTCTTGCTTCTAGAACTCAATGTGTTGAACTTCAGCCGATGCTTCTTACTTGTAACACAATACTCACTGAATGAAAGAGCTACCGAATTAAGTCCAGAAAGCAGCTTCTGATCGGAGAGATCTTCAAGCCTCGTTCTGACATACGGCCTAGTTTGCGATATTACATCATGGTTTGTTCTTCTCCATGGCTGGTTGATGTCACACATGAATCAACTTCCTGCAGGATTTCTCCCTTGAGCATGTACAGATTTGCAACTATGTTTTCTCCTTTTATTACCACAAGCGCCCCTCTAATCTTCATGATCCTATTTTTGATATGGGTCTTGCACCCGAGCTCATCTAATTGTCCCAAAGATAATAGATTCTTCTTCAAGCCCTTCACATGTCGCACATCTTGAATGGTACGTATTGTACCATCAAACATTTTGATTTTGGTAGTGTCAGTACCAGAAATCTTCAAGGTATGATCATTCCCCATGAATACAGATCCTCCTGAGAGAGGTTCATATTTATGAAATCATTCTCTCCGAGAAGTCATGTGTCAGGAGGCTGCTGAATCTAGAAGCCATACATCGGCAAACCTCCTTCTGCCTTCATCAACAGTGGTCACTCCACTGAATAGAATTTCACCATCGTCTGATGTGCTGACAACGCATCCTTGAGATGTTGATGGCTCTGAAGACTTTTTATCTCCATTCTTCTTATTTTGCCAACACACCGATTTGACGTATCCCTTTTTGCCATAGTTGTAGCATTTGATATTCTTCTTACTTCGTGATTTTTATCTACCATGGGTATGACTCCCACTGGAACCACGTTCCGTTGATCTTCATCTCGTCATCGATAAAGCCTCTGCTTGTTGCGAACTTGCATGCATGTCTTCCTTGTTCTTGCGTCGATTTTCTTCCTCCAGAACAGCGGCTGCAACATCGTTGAAAACTATATAGTCCGTAAGGACGTTATTTGTCAGGTTGATAATGAGTTGATCATACGAGTCAGGTAGACTCTAAAGTAGAAGTTCTGCACGTTCATTCGCACCAACTGTATGAGTTGATCATACGAGTCAGGTAGACTCTAAAGTAGAAGTTCTGCACGTTCATTCGCACCAACTGTATACCCCAACGTTGTGAGTTGGGAGAACAGTGTGTTCATTCGCACCAACTGTATACCCCAACGTTGTGAGTTGGGAGAACAGTGTGTTTAGGGTGTTGATGTGATCAGTCATCGATGTAGATTCTGCCATCCTAAGAGTATAAAATTTCCTTTTTAAGAAGATTTTATTGTGCATGGATTTCGCCTCATATAGCTTTGTTAGAGTATCTCAGATCTCCTTTGTTATCTTCTTCTCCTCAATGCTTGACAGCACTCCGTCTGCTAATGCCAGATGGAGATTTGCAATAGCATTTTTATCCATCTCATTCCACTTCTTATCATTTTTCATGTCGTTCGACCTTGCACCGATGGCCGCTAGGCAATTATTTTTTCTCAAGATAGCCTTTATCTTCAACTTCCACAGAGAAAAATTACTCCTGTCGAATTTCTCGATCTTGAACTTTACCATCATTGCTTCTACCACAAACAGTAACTTCTTACTATCTCACGTAAACAGTAACTGTATTTATGAACAGTAACCATATCCGTGAATAGTTCCGTATATGTGAATAGTATCGTATTTATGAACAGTATCGTACTCGTGAATAGTACTCGTCACCTTCAAAGGGTAAATGATAACCTAACTTGTTTTCTGATGTGGAGGATCCACCTTTGGTGGCAGCCATAGAGCATACGATAAGTAGATATATACAAGCACCCTAAGTTGACTCTAATACCACTTGTTGGGACAAACCCGGGGCCAAACAGAGCAAGGTCGTAGCAATAGTAGAACAAAAATAGAGATAAAAAGTTGGACACACATATTTACGTGATTCGGCACTTGATTGCCTACGTCCACGGACAAGGATAGAAGAAGTTACTATGAGGAGAAAACTCTGGAGTTACAATCTCTCTTGAGTTACAATCTCTCTTTACAAGGAGATACTCTCTCTCTCTATTCTTTCTCTCACTCTTCTATATGAGGAGTTGTTTCTAGGATGAGTTTTTCCTTAAGGACTTGGAGCCTATTTATATTGTTTGGAAAAAACACTATGCATAATAAAATGTTAATATTACACTATGCATCTTTTGAAATTTCCAAACTCGGTGCCTAACCCAGTGCATTTTTTTTCAAAAGTGGGGCCCACTCTTTTGCTTTTGATAAAAAACGTGGGCTGCTGATTTCGGTGCCTGACGTTAACTTCTCAAACCCAAAGATTTCTGAAAATTTTGATCCACATGCTTGTGGATGGGCTTTCGGGATGAACATCTTCGATCTAAAGCAGTGGAAGATACGGAACATTACTGGAATATATATATATATCATTATTGGCAAGACTCCGTAAGAATAATTTTAGTCAACCTTTCTGCGCTTCACAAATTATAGGGTTAGCTGTGGATAGGCCCCCTGTACCATTGCCAAATTGAACTTACTACACTTGTAGTTCTGTAGTTTTAGATAGACCCCTTGAAAATGTCCTATTACTTCAGATAATCCCCCTGAGTGAAAATCTATTGGTGCAGATAGACCCCCCCTAAAAGTGTCAAGAAGATTCCCAAAGGGTAGCGAGTTCAGTTTGCAATAGTACAGGAGGCGTAGCTAACCCCTAAATTATATTCGACCAACATACTGCCGTACAATTCATATCTGCAGAATGAGGAAAGAACACTACGGAAACTGGGAACTCTACCTCCGGGTTTGATCACATTCTACAACCTGACATATCCCCTCGAACGAAGCTGGCATGTCTTGGGCCTCGGTCATGATCCAGCAGTGGGCCCGAAAGAAGTCGAGAATGCAGCCGTTGTTCACTACAACGGGAACTACTGTAAGCCATGGTCAGACCCTGCAGTTGCCAAATATAAGCAGTACTGGTGGTCCAAGTTTGTTCCCTTAGATAGTCCGTACGTTCAGCAATGTTTATTTTTACTTCCCTCTATCGAAGTTTTTGAATGAGAAGTCCAGTGAATTTCCTTATGCCCTTATCGCAGCTCAGCAACGTTGTACATCACTATCACCAAATAAAGAACGCCGGTTCACAAATAACCTCCCACGTTTTCCCTCCGCTATTCAAACATCTTGCTAACATTCGATCATTCAAACTTGGAACTTCGATTCACGCCGATGTTGTCAAGATGGGTTTTGATTCTTACGCTTCGACCTGCAATTCGGTCATTAGTTTCTACAGTAAATGCAGCATGATGAGCTCTGCGCTGAGATTTTTCGATAAAATGGAGTGTAAAGATTCGGTATCGTGGAACGCTTTGGTACATGGATTCTTGAGTTTAGAGGAGTATGAGATCGGCCTGAGCTCGTTCATGGAGGCTAGGGCTTCAAATTTTGAACCCAACGTTTCATGCTTGATCCTTGTTGTTCGAGCTTGCTGGAAACTGGAAGCCATTGACGAAGGACAAAACCTACATGGGTTTATTACAAAGAGTGGGTTTTCAATTGTGGCCTCAGTGCAGAACTCTTTGCTCAACATGTACGTGAGGTTTGTGAACTTGAATTATGCACAGAAGTTGTTTGACGAAATGTGTGAACGAGATGTGATATCTTGGAGCTCGTTGATGAGTGGATACACGCGATGCGGAAATGCCGCCAATGCTTTGCGATTGTTTCGATCGATGTATGTTGAGCTTGGTAACGAGATGGATGGGCTTGCGGCGGTTTGCGTTCTTCAAGCATGCGCAAACGCTGGAGATATCGACAATGGGAAGTCCATACATGCTCACTTGATCCGTAAAGGGTTTGAAGAGGATGTGTTTGTTGAGAATTCTCTTATTGATATGTACTCGAAGTGTGTTGATATTGATTCTGCCTTCGTGGTCTTTGATCACATGTCATCTACTAATATTGTTTCATGGAATAGCATCATAACTGGATTAATCGGTAATGAGAAAAGCATTGAAGCCTTACAACTGTTCGGTTCAATGCAAAAGACTGGAGTCGAGGGGGACGAGGTGACCATGGTCAATCTTTTGCATGCCTGCAAGCAACTCGAGCTGCCAGTGCACTGCAGATGTATTCATGGAGTAGTTATCCGAGGGTGGTTATCGAATGACTTCGTACAGAATTCACTGTTAGATTCTTACACAAAGTGCGGCCTAATGGAACTGGCCATGAAACTATTCGATACAATGGAGAGAAAAGATGTGATATCTTGGAGTACCATGATTGCTGGCTTTGCACACTGTGGCAATGCAAGTGAATCCATCGCCCTCTTTAGAGAGATGCAATTCGCAAGAGAACCGCCAAATTCAGTCACTATTCTTAGCTTAATTGAAGCTTGCGTCATTTCTGCCGAGCTCAAGCTCTCAAAGACCGTTCATGGCTTATCAATCAGAAATGACCTAGACCAAGACTTGACCATCGGAACCTCACTCATCGACATGTATGCAAAATGCGGTGACCTGATCAGCTCAAAAAAAGTGTTTGATGAAATGCCTTCAAAGAACATACATTCCTGGAACGCAATGATAGGTGCATTAGGGATGAACGGACAAGGAAAAGAAGCGCTTGCCCTACTCCACGAAATGCATGATCAGGGCATGAAGCCAAATTCAGTCACAATGGTTTCCATCCTCTCATCTTGTAGCCATTGTGGTTTAGTACAGGATGGGCTTGCTTGCTTTCAAAGAATGCTAAAAGTTCCCTCACTGCAACCTTCACTTGAACATTACTCATGTGTTATAGACATGTTGGCGAGATCCGGAGACCTTAAGGGCGCGCTCGAGGTGATAAGGAAGATGCCTGGAGATGTTGAGCCATCTCCGGTTGCTTGGGGAGCTCTGATGAGTGGATGTAGGAGCCATGGGAGCTTTAAGCTTGGGCAAATTGTCGCGTCGCATGTGGTTGGGCTTGAACCAACAAATTCTGCCGGGTATCTGATGAGCTCGAGCATGTTTGCAAGCGGAGGAGTGAGTGAGGGGATGGCGAGCATGAGGAGGTTGATGAAGGAGAGGAGGTTGAAGATGGTGAGTGGTAATAGTTTGGTGCATGTTGAGGGGAGGGACCATAAGTTTGTTGCTTGGGATGAGTCTCATCTGGAGAAGGAGGGAATTTATGTTATGGTTGAGTTTTTGCATTATTGTATGAAGAAAGTAGAAGGGAATGATTGAATTTGCATCTATGCAAGTATCATGGGATTTAGATGTAGATAAAATTTTTATCACCATCATCTTGATTATCACCACTTAAGCTCTCGTGGGGAAAGGGTAACAGGTTTTCCAAACAGTGAAAGATGATTTATTATAAAATCATAATTTCAAGGTATATGTTTTAAATTAACATCATGAGAGGAACTTTTCTACTGTAAGATGGGAAAACAATCTTATATTCAATAAGTAATAAGCAAAACAACTTGAGTAAATTACATAAAGAACTTACCACAAAGGCACAAACATCCAACTACCATCTTGAGTCAGAGTAAAAGTACTTGGATAGAAAATTATCATCTGAATGTGGTCCGTCCGTTTCATGTATTGACCTTTAGAAAAAAGAGAAAATTGTACTCTGAAAGACAGATTTGGTACAAACTAGAACCCAAAAAAATATCTTATAACAAAGAAAATTACTTAATCTAGAACATATATTGGTCATTTAATTGACCACTTTTGATTGCAACACTTCCAAGTTCCAACCCAACCCACACTCGATTTGACAGCCAGTCTCAAATTAACCAATTAGCAGCACACCTTGACTCATTCCCCAGCCAACTTGCACCCTTACTTTTGAAAAGAAGTCATCTTACCACCATTTCTCCTCACATCACCCAGCCAACTTGCACCTTTACTTTTGAAAAGAAAACGGACATCTTACGACCTTTTCTCCTCACATCAAAACCTTACATATTTATCCAAAATCACCAAATTTACCAAAGTTCTCATGGCTAAATATCTATACCTCTTGTTCTCTCTTCTCATTGTTCATCAAGTCTCGTCCTCACACCAACACCACCACCACCACCACCATCTAAAATCCCTTCACTTTTCTCTCTACCAACATGAAACCATCAACAAGACCGGCTTCATCATCGTCCAGCCCGTCACTGGACACACGGGCATCTCTCAAACAACAACCCCCTTTGGGACAATCTTCGTCTTCAACGACAAGATGACCACCACGACAAGTGCAACCTCTCGCGTCGCAGGCATCGCAGAGGGATTTTCCGTAACTTCAAGCTTAGACGGGCTTAGGAGTGTTTCGGCGGCAAAGATAACGTTGAATGTTGAAGGGCACGAAGGGTCGATATCGGTTCTTGGGGGGACTCATAACACAAAGCCATCTGATCATCCGGTGGTCGGAGGGACCGGAGACTTCATGTTTGTTGGAGGGTACGTGAGGTCGTCACCGGTGAGTTTGACGGGGGTTACCGTTGTGTACAAGATTGAGTTTTATTTGTATTGGCCTCCTTATGCGCCTAGTGTTGGTCACAAGGGAGTTTCTTGAAAACAATTAGTATGTGTTCATGTCTTCGTGATGTTTTAAGTGTCATATGGAGTTCGTAGTGTTGGAATAATGGATAAAATAGTTTCTGATTAGTTCTGTAGTTCTGAAATTATTGGTATTTGAATGAATGAAGTATGAGGATTCATATATTGAAGGATTAATTTCACGAAAACCCGAACTTTGGGGGTTTGCACATAACCCCAGAATTTTTTTTATATCACATAACGTCCCTAGACTTTACACTTTTCTTCACTAGACCCCTTTCTGAAATTTGGAAATAACTAAGTGGGGTTATTGGTTGGGATATTTTGGGGGATAATGAGATAATTTTGGAGATTCTATTTCATAGTGTTATTCATTGGGACAATGGAACAAGGATAATACCTTTTTGTGTTACTGGTTTTTTGGAATACTAGTGAGACAATTACACCACTTGGGATAAAATTACCCCACTCATTTACAAAAATTTTGTCCTAATAGTAAAAATTTACTCCATCCTCCATATTGGAACAATGTTGTTCCACTTTGAAGGCAATTGGGATAATTTTAAAATATTTTTATATTACTTAACTAATACATGCAATTATATTATAAATATATGACATGATATATAAAAATATACATATATTAATATTTTAATGACATAATTTAATAACATATATTAATAATATTATATAATAGTAATTATAGTATAACGTATTTATTATAATATTATATAATATTTTAATAACATATATTGTTATATAATATATTATTATATAATTAATTTATAAAATATTATTATAGTTATTATATATATGACATACTATTATAATATAATATAATAATTACTAATATTAGTAAAATATTATGATATAATATAATATAATACTATAGTTTGAAATAATATAATATATTATACTATAACATGATACCTATTAATATATATTATTGTAATTATCATGTTATATATATATTATTTTAATTTTAATATAATATTTTAAAAATATTACATTGAATAAAGTAAAATATTATAATATTTTATAAAGTACATTATATCCTATGATACTATATTATAATATATTAAATTAAATAATATATTATTAAAGTATTATATTATATATATTATTCATATATTATATCAATTATTATATAATGTAATATACTAATCTAATGTTAATTAGTAATTATTGTATAACATATTATATTTTTGTATAAATAAAATAATGTATTATATTAAATATTATATTATTAAAATATTATATTAAATATATTGATATTATATTATATTAATTATTATATAATATAATATAATATAATATAATATAATAATTAATAATAGTAATTTTTAAGTATAGTACAATATATTATATTTTAATATAAAGTAAAATAATATTTATATTATAATAATATACTAAATAATATATTAAACCAATTGGATAAGTTAATTTAGAAGTAATTAATAGATAAAATTATATTTTAATAAGGTGCCACATCATCAATTATCCCACATAAATTGTCAAATCAAAAGCTCAAATTATCTCATTATCCCACTTTATCCCACTTTACCCCACTCAAAATATCCCAAAGGGGTAAAATTGTTCCATTTGGAACAATTTTTCCACTTGGTCCTAATTTGTCCCAACCAATAACCCCCCTAAATATCTTGGGGGGTCTCTCTCTGTCTCTTCCAATTGAGAGTTTTTTTTAATTCAAGGACATTTTAGTTACGAGTTAGGATGCACGTGCATTGCACGTGGTTAAGTATTTTGATTATTACTTTTGACTTTATGTGCTTATTATAGCTCGGTTGCAATATTATTTTTCTATGAGGAACTCGACATAGTTATGGATGTGCATACTATTGCAACGAGACGCTATACAGACACAGAAGATATCTATACAAAGTAGATAATAACATAGTACTATGTGATCACAGTAGAGATAGAGAACACCACATAAGAATTTAACATGGTTCGATCAGTATATCCTACGTACATGGGCGAGAACAGTAGAGATTCATTAATCACAAAAGAGAAGATTATAGTAGGAGACCACTCTAATATCTCCCAAACGCATGCAAAGAAGAGAACACTCAAAAAAACTCTCTTGTTCTTTTCTCTTCAACTCTCTTTCTTTTCTATGTCCCAAATGCATTTAACTCACATCTTCATAGGTATTTGTGGCTTCACATATACAAGAGGGTTAGTGAAATAGTGAAAAGGATTGGTGAAATAGTGAAAAGGGTTGGTGAAATAGTGGGAGTTTGAAAACACATGTATTAAATTTGATTCAATGTCACAATTAACAAATCTCCACCTTGACTTTGAATATGAAGATCTTCTCTTCGCTCTTGCTATCTCACTAAATACCCCTTACGGGCTTAACCTCCACTTTGTTAAGCTTCAAGCAATTCGAGACAATACTCGAACTTGCACGAAGGTATAGGCTTCATCATCATATCTGTTGGATTATCTATTGTACCAATTTTTTTAATTTTAATGATCTTAATTTCTCTGATAAAATGATACCTAACATCTATATGCTTAGTTCTTTCATGATACATCTGATGCCTCGTCAAATATTTTGCACTCTGATTATCACAAAACACCGTAGTAACACCTTGATGTAACCTGAGATCTTCAACCAAACCTCTCAACTAATTACATAGGTTCTTTCACTGCTTTTGTCACTGTCATATCCTATGCCTTTGTAGTAGACAGAGCAGCCGCCAACTGTAGAGTCACCTTCCAACTAATGTCACTACCAGAGAGAGCGAATACATAACCCCTCATAAATCGTCTCTTATTCAAATTGTCCACATAATTTGAATCAGTCAAGTATTCTGTAATCTGAATTTGTTTTCCAGCTAAAATATAAACCAGTATTAGCAGATCCTCTCAAATATCTAAGTACCTATTTTACAGCCTATCAATGGACATTTCTAGGCTTATCTATATACCGACTCACGGCACTAGCTGCATATGAAATATCTGGATGGGTGCAGACCATAGCAACATAATACTTTCAACTGCACTGGCATAAGGAACACAAGACATGTATTGCTTCTCTTCTTCAGTTTGAGAAGAGAAATCTGCTGAAGGACGAAAATGAGCAGCAAGTGGAGTCTTCACAAGCTTCGCATCAAGCATGCTAAATCTTTCCAACACCTTCTTGATGTATTTCTCATATGAAAGAAATAAACTTCCTTTTCGCTTGTTCTTATTGATCTCCATCCCCAAAATCTTCTTCCTACTCCTAAGTCTTTCATCTCAAACTCATGCTTGAGTTGAAATTTCAACTTGTTTATTTCTAGTATATATTTGACTGCAATCAACATGTCATCAATGTACAAAAGTAAATATACAAAAGAACCATCATTAAGCTTTTTATGATAAATATAACTATCATATTTACTCCTATAGTAACCATGCTCAAATATGAAAGTATTAAATCCTAAATACTACTGTCTTTGAGACTGTTTCAACCCATAAAGAGATTTTATTAACCTGCACACATAATCTTTGTTACCTTCAACGACGAACTCCTCTAGCTGATGCATAAACATATGCTCCTCAAACTCATTATGTAGAAAGACCATCTTCACATTAAGTTGCTCAAACTCCAAATTAAATTGAGCAACCATAGCAAGTAACGCGCGGATTGAGGTGTGTTTTACAACTAGAGATAATACTTCATTGAAGTTTTTAGCCTCGGTCTGACTGTAACATTCAGCTATCAAGCATGCCTTGCATCTTACAGAATTTGTATCCGAAATTCCTTCTTTCTTCTTAAAGACCCATTTGCAGCCAACAAGCTTTTGTCCCCTTAATGGCACTACTAACTACTATGTCTGGTTCTTGTAAAAAGACTTCATCTCTTCAGTCATCGCCACAGCCCAATCTGTAGCCTTACTGTCACTTATAACCTCCTTGTAGGTAGAAGGATCTAAAATTTTAATAGATTCTGCGACACTCAAAGCGTAAGCAAGCATATCTGCATAATGTTGAGGATATCAGATTTGTTTTTTTGTTCTCCCATTGGCAATATTGTACTGTTGCTCTTGTGGTGTATCATCATATAAAGTCGAACCTTCTACAGTATCAACTGGTTCACTATGAGCGCCCTCAAGCACCCCCTTTAAAGCGGAGTTCTCTACCTTCACTACTTGCTAGACTCCTTTTTCAATACATATGATATCAACAATAAACTCCTTTCTTAGCTAAAGCATTAATTTTTCATCAAAAGTAACATCCCTACTAATAAATAATTTAGGTGACTTGGGATTAGAACACCACAATCTATATTCCTTCACCTCATTAGCATATCCTAAAAAGATAGCTTTCTTTGCTCTGAGTTCAAACTTACCATCATTAACATGAAAATAAGCAGAGCAACCAAATACTCTTAAATGAGAGTAACTAGCAGGGACACCAGACCATACCTCTTCTGGAATTTTAAAGTCAATCGCTATAGAAGGAGATCTATTTATCAAATAGCAAGTTGTATTGACTGCCTCAGCCTAAAAGTTTTTTGACAAACTGGCATTAGAAAGCATGCACCGAGTGCTCTCTAAAAGTGTTCTGTTCATCTTTTCTGCAACTCTATTTTGTTGTGGTGTATGCTGAACTATACGATGATGCACAATACCTTCATTCTTGAAGAATTGTTCAAACTCCGTGGAGCAAAGCTTCATCCTATTATCAAGTCTGAGGCACTTCACTTTCTTTCTTGTTTGGTTCTCAATCATAACCTTTCATTACCTAAAGGTTGCAAACACATCACTCTTATGTTTCAAAGGAAACACCCAAACTTTTCTGGAATAATTATCAATTGATGTTAGTAGAAAATAAGCTTCACCTTTTGATAGAACCTGAGAGGGACCCCAAATATCTGAATGGATATAATCTAAATACCCTTGGTTCTGTGGACACCTATACTAAAGGAGATTCTATGGTGTTAGTCAAAAACAGAATGCTGACAAAAGTCTATCTTGCTAATTTTCTGACCATAAAGCAGAC